TCGAAAATATAACAAAAATTATATATTAAGACGAGACATAGACTTTGGAACAATTAAAGTCGTTGTGAGCAAAAATAATGTTGTTTATTATCAACAATTTATTTTTGGTCCTCGAAAATCCTCTATTGAAAACAGAGAGCCTATGATATTTTTAATTAGTTCATCTCATAACCCAAGAAGATCTCTTATTTATAAAATTAGATCTGAATATACACTATTATGTATACTTAATTATTATAAAACTAATATGTTACCTTTTAATTATATAAAACCTAAATATTCAATTAAATTAACCMAAACCATTAATAGTCAAAAATGGTTWAARCGTAGTGTAACAAAACGCTATATTTGTATATACTGCAATTTATTAAATGAAAATGGATATTACTTTACTAACCATATTGTCGACGAAATTAATAAGAATGAGATCACACATTTGTGCAACAACAAGTGTATTTTAATGTGTGAAACACATGATCACTGGCATAATAACAACCAAATTTGCAACGCAGAATGCAAACTATTTTGTCTTAAAAATAGTTTCGCAAAAACTTTGGAAACTACATGGCTTCCACAATTCACCCGTAATCATTGTGTTAATAAATTATGTATTTATTGTCTCAAATTAACCGACAGTAATGAATTATTAAATATATTAAAAAGTGAAGACATATCAAATGTCTTAAACACTTTCTATAACCATATTAATATGAAATCAGTGTTGTGTTTGTTGTGTCGTGCGAAACATTTTAGTCAATACAAAAATGGACATTCTATTGACCATTATATTGCAAATGATCTAAGTATCATTATTGATCATTTGATATCACACCATGTGACCGATATCCAAGAACCTCTACATCTGGAAGTCTCTACATTTAATTATGGTGAAGACATCACAGACGATGCTTTGACATGGATAAGACGGTACTTCTATGATGTTGGAGTAACGAAAATTGAAGAAATCATCAAAAGCAACATCAAGAAAGCATCACCGGATTCAGTTGTCTATTCATCACTAACAAAGGCGATATCGGATATGGGAACACTGGGTGAATTTAATTCGTTTTATACCATACCTATTGAAGCTGATAACATAGCAGCCGATGATATAATCAATGACTTATTTAATAAACTTAATTAATAATTTGAACTTACTTATATAACCTTATAAACAATGTTTTTATTATATAAAACAAACTTTATAGTCAACCAATTATTGCAACCAAATACTATAATAATCAATATACTTACATAATCTGAATATTGTATACACAATTTAACCCTTTTATAATTATATAATATACACTTATTATCCAATATTTTAGTCCTAGTATACTATTTACTATATATAAATATCACAATTAATGAGACTATTCTGATATAATTTATATTATTATATAACCGTAACTATGAATCTATTATTATATAATCTATTAATATATTTTGTGACTTACATTACATTACATGCAAAACTAAAATAACCAATTCATATATTTGTATAAATATTTCCCAATATAAACACCTATTAGTGTAACTTAATATTATACTCTAATCAATATTATATAATGAATATTTAAACATATTTATTATAACATTTATATTACATTTATAACAATTTTACTTTATATCCTATTTAATAATTGATGTTTTTAATGTTTAATTGTAATTTTAATCTTTATAAGCGGACAGATATCATGAGATTCGAGTCGAATCTACAGGGAGAAGGGAGTGATGTTATAGAAAATATTGACATACAATAGATTTATAATACAATACACACACATATATATATATATATATATATACTATATCAAAATATACTAACAAATAAATTTTTTAGATGCACCCTAAAATTAATACATAATATACTGCATATAACATCTACATACATAGTGCCAAAAATCCAAATTTCTTTCCCGTACTGTAATATAAATCTATATAAAATTTCCCCTATCCGGTGCCAGAATTACCAATTTTAGACATCAATCATTACATAACATAGCATAAATAGTATTATATTGTAGTGTTTTTTGGCTCCAACGCATCACTAGTATATACCTTACCTCCCTTGAAAATTTATATTGATGCGACCGAGACTATAAAACCCCAAGTATCCTCAATGATAGAATCATTGAGATACTGGTAGTCATTGGCATAGACTAGTACTGCTAAGAGCCGTTAGCAGATCAGTTCTCTCCCCTTCTGGTTCGACCCCCTTCTCATTGATGGTCCGTATACTTGGATGTATACCACTTTGATGTCTTTTTAAATAAAAACCTTTTGGATTTAATGTAAGTTTTTACCATTTATTGTCTCCTACTTTTTTCTAAGCGACCTAAATCCGTGGGTTCCCGCGTCGGGAGCTCCAGTATCGTAAAGGTCCCTTCTTGTCTACAGTCTTAAGGTAAGATGACTGGCCATCGGGTCCGCCGTGTCGGGGGATCTGGTCGGTTATGTTGTCGAGCCTTCCCGCGTATATAGCTAATGGACGGAACCGCCGTGTCGGGGGTTCCGGTCCAGTTATGTAACCTTACCTAACCATACCCTATGATGGTTGGCCATCGGATCCGCCGTGTCGGGGGATTCGTACGGTCCTGCCGTCATTCCTTTACCTTTGATAGTATGCTAACGGATCTGTCGTGTCGAGAGATCTGTACGGCTATGCTGTCCTCATCCCTTACCTCCTTTGACCTATACTTAGTTATTGTTGGTATAGACTACTATATGTGTCATATGGAAGTCTCCGACATCCCCGAGATTGTACCAGGCCGCCGAAGGCTCTGCCCGATTTTTCGGCAATAGTCCTACGTTTTAGTGAAACAGTTGTAGTTTTGTCGGTTCTCAGTGTTATTTAACACTAATAGTCTGACCTTAAAATACAATTTACTAGGTGATCCAATAGTTGCTGTCTTCGTGACAATAGCACTAGTTTGGTTGATTGTTGTAATTATCGGCTGTTTGAGTGAATGTGTGTGTGAATGCATAGCAGTGGATTTCTCGAGTACATATGTGCTTTCGCTAACCTAGTTGGGAAATGCATAGTTACTATTCGATACCGACTGACTAGGCAGGCCAGTGGTCCCAAGAGGGTTCCGGTCTCCCGATCGCGTGATTGTGTGTTAATAGCCGATAACGGACACTGAGTTTAAGACCGTACACATACGCTCCTCAATAGTGATCCGAGAGTATAGTTAAGGTTTGCCTTAACTTTATGAGTCTATAGTCACCTTCGGGATTGACTGACCCAGTATAAATAAATATTTGGACACCTAATAGTTTATTGTTGTTACATATGCACTGTTCTTACAATATCACGGCCAAAAACCTAAAGGTGATGTCAATTGTCCCCGGAGACGACATAGTCATGTCTGACCAAATAAACTGAATACAGTATGTGAAATAATAGAAATGTTATGATAAGTATGTAATACTGTCGGCAATCTTTCGGTCATGTATTGTCTTTTTCGTACTTGAGTGTATGATGTGTTTGTATAGATTTATGTTAATTTATGTGATCGGTGACTCTCCGACAATACATTCGTTGACGGTCGCGGCGGCGGTTGTGTACGCGACACCGCTTGCTGTAGTTAATGAGCGCCTTATCATTGACGCCACCACACATACAATTTTGTCTAATATAGTCCTTGTCTATGTATGTTAGTTGAATGTAATTTTGTTGTCTGTTGTAATGTTATACAGTACAGATTAGTAGTCCAGTGATAGTCACCGTAACAAAGGTTTCGGGTGTTATCACATTTCACCGACGAGTGTCGGGTAGGGTTTAACTAGTGTTTAAACGCCTTTATTTAGTGCCGGGTAGGCACGGCTGGAGAGACATAGATGGGTTAGATTCCCCCAGAGATTGCTTGTGACGATCCCATGGTTATGTCATCAGAGTCAGAGGACTCTGATTTATAGTTTGGCCACAGGGTTGGTCAACGGGTATAGCATTACTTATCCTATAGTGGGTATTTGAATAGACTACGCCGGTTTTACCGACGGTAGTACCGAGTGATGGTACTGACCATTAGACTCAGTCTTACTAGTAGATTGGGTATTGAGTTGCATGTTTTGGTTAGAGGGAGGCTTTGAGGCTTCTCTCGTTGGCAATTATTGGTAGGGCCCGACCAGTTAGTCAATCGTTATGTTTTAGTTACCAGTTTATAATTGCGACAAGACATTTGTTGTCATTGAGTAATGTCGGTTTTTGTTTGTTTTTAGCGCAAGTGTTGCGGCTAGCCAGCCATTGTATGGATGCTGATAACACTGTATCGTCCTGTCTTCAGTATACTATAGTTGTGTCACGTGTAGTGAGTGACCAAACTAGTAAAATAGTTTTTACTGGTCTCAGAGCTTCTGACCAGACCCGAGTGGTACAGACTTCGAGTCTTAACTCTCAAAACAATGAGTCTGTCTTAACATTGAATAGTGTTTCGTTTGATAGTAAAGGTCAAATTGAATTGAATAATCTCAGGACCAGAGATAATACCTTTTATATAATTGGTCCGCAAAGTAGTAATGTCTTAATTTACGATCAATCAGACATAGATTGTATTAATAATTGTGTAGTAAAAGCTAATATTGTGCCCAATGTACAATTAAGACAACCTAAACCACTACAGGAGTACTGTGCCAATAGTGGCGGCCATTCCAGTGGTTTACGTGAAATCATTGCATGGAAAGTGAAGCGAGTAACTCACCCCAAAAAATTCTCATGAAACATCTAAATAATCAACACTTTCCAGATATAAATGGCAATGCTATTAAAATAATATTGAAACGGTATAGAATTAGGATATATTATAGTTATAACAGTAATGATAAAATCTACTCATTACAATATTTTTATAATATATATATAATTTAAATAATTAGAAATTTAAGAGTTTATCAAATAATGATATGTTTGATGAACAATACAAAGTGAATGATTAAACATATTAATACAATCAAACAAATAATCAAATATTGTATTAAATATGGTGTTTGAAGTACCGGTAATGTAAATATATGAACAAATGTTAGCAAATGATAACAAAAATTGTTTGATTTTATTAGTCGGAGCTGAAGAGCCACCAATCCTTCTCATATCCTTCAATAATGTGATCTATCAGTGCTTTTCGTCTTTTATTGCAATAATTAGTTGAATGGATCACTTGATCTTTCAATTGTTTCATGTCTTTGTTTTCTTGTCGGTCATCGCTTGGAATTTCTCTTTCTAATAATTCGGATAATGTTTCCACAGATGACTGAAGATCTCTTTGATTTATTTCAAAGATTTGTATCTGCGGTGTCCTCTCATTATAAAAGGCAAACACATCTTAAATTTGATATAATGTAATAAAATAAAGTAAATTTGTAATAGAAATGACATTTAACATACAGGTGTACATCAATGTCTGTCGGCAATTGCAAAGCGCGTGAACGGCTTTCTCCATGAACTGGACCTCAACCCAAGCATTGTTGAAGTTATGCTGCATTTGAGTCATTCGTGTCCTAACTGTAGCCATGAGCTCACTCTCAAACTTAAGACTCTGTTTGTGATTCATAAATCTTTGCCAATAAAACATGAATCTCTCCAAAGACTTTCTTTGATCGCTTTGATTCTCTTTAACGGTTCTGGCTTTGGAATCATTAAATTGATTGCAATTGTAATAACTGGTCCCATGAGTGGCCCACGACTGTAGACATACCCAACAAAATTCAAACTTACACTTAAGACTCCGACATGTCCTACATATATGAAATAAATAATTATAGATTATTATTACCGGCAAATATCTTAAAATAAAAAATAAAGTCAACAGACATGTGGTTACATCCGCCGTTCTTTTCAATACTTGTGCGACATTTGGGGCACTCCTTTGTATTAGTTATAATCCAATTGGCTGTTCGGCCGTCAATTTTTTCGGCATTATTTCCGGCGGACTTTTTATTCCATCTGTAGATCAGTTCACAAGTAATGGGTTCGTGATTGGACTGACCGCAAGCAAAGCATATTTCAGTGCCACAAATACAGGTCACGGGATGTGCTTCTCGAAAATGAACACTAAAGACATGCAGACAATCAGGTTTAGGACACCAACGCAACAATCCATTGGACTCAACGTAGCAATTGATTGTTAATCTTTGATATTTACTCTTCAGTAGGTTGTCATCACTGATCAATTGTAGAACATCTTCGTCATCAACAATCACTTTACATTCAGTTTCTGCACAAGTAATGGCAGTTACATCTCCCTCAGCCATAATCTTAGTGGTCAAGTATTTCCTCCAACACTCTTTACAATAGTCGTGACCACAATTCAGACCAAATAARTAATTCTTGGAAACCAAATCACAACAGATTTCACAAGAAATTCTCATTTTTTGGTCCATTCGTCGTCTTTTGTTATGACTCTCATGAGACAAGTCTTTATTGACTACAATTCCAACGTCTTTGAAAAGTTGTTCTTCATTTCCATCAAATATTCGCTCTAAAAGTTTTTGAGAATCCCATCGAAAATGTTTGAGTAGAGTCCGAATGATAGCCGAAGACAATTGGATTACATGTTTGATGTTTTCAATGGTCTCTTCCATCTGTTTCTGGACGTCTTTGACTGAAAGCACTTGATATTCAAATGACTGGTTCGAAGTGGAAGAAGGGTTGACATCATCGCTAATAAGACCCAAATCTATATCTGAATCACTTATTGTATCAAATGATTCATCTGACAAATCAGTCATCTTTTATGGAAATAGTCTTTTATAATCTTAAGATATACTGTAGTATTATTAGACGATATAATACTACCAATGATTACAATAAGTAATAAAATTTTAATAACCGTTTAAATAAAAAGTAAGTCAATTATTTCACGCGATAAATACTTTACAAATTAATACTGTATTAAAATTATTAAAATAATTAAAATAATGTATTTTTCAATTTTATTCAATTTTATATTTCAAGTGTATTATATTACAAATTATCACAGTTTAATATGATATATAATTTACAATTATATGCTAAATGAGTACATAATAATAGATATATAGAAATGGGAATAAGTCTAGACTCTAGACTCTAGATTATAAGGAACCGGTAAATACATAGTTTTAATTCATAGAATCTATTAGATTAAATCAATATTATAGACATCCACTGAATATTAAACATTTATATAATAACATAAATATATTTGTCAAACAAAAACTTTCTATTTGACACACATCCCTATCCACCCACACCATACCTTCCCATCCCTATCCACCCACACCATACCTTCCCATCCCTATCCACCCACACCATACCTTCCCATCCCTATCCACCCACACCATACCTTCCCATCCCTATCCACCCACACCTCCCTACCCATCCCTACCCCTCTCATCAACAATTGATTTGGTGGTCAAGAAATTCTACGAAAGCCAAAAAAGTCACTTCACTGATAAACGACAAAAGTTTCAATTTTCAAGCAATGACTTTAGTGTCGACATTAATATCCCGGTGCCTAAGCCAATGGTCAACAGTTGCATACATGAAATTAAGTGCCAAAATGACGTCAACACTGACCAACAGTTAACGATTAAACTTAAATTGTGAAACACAATACCAGACAATCTATTTAACACTTAAAATAAATTTTATTATACTTTTTAAAAAACAAATGTATATCGAAAGGTATTTTTAAATATTTCAATGAAATTCTATGCAAAATATTTGAGTTTTGGTACTATTTATCGTAACTATGAAAGGAGGGAATATAAAATATTTTATGGGAAAATTGTAGTGATTTTATTAAGGGATTTTCCTAACTTGGAAATTGCCCCAACTCTACATACAATACATAAATTGAATGTATTGTACAATAATATTACACTTTTATAAAAATACTGTATATTTAAAAACAGTTGTCTTATTGTTTCTCATTTTAATAATAATAATAATAACAAATACTGTCTATTAAATTGCAAAATCATTGAAATTGATATTAAAAATGTTTACGAGATATCATATATAAAGTCTATAATATAATCAATTAATTAATAAATCATTTAGTTTTAAATGACATTTTGTTTTTATAATAGTAAACATTATTATATTATTAGATCATTAGTTTCGGGATTCAAATCCAAGTCAAGTCATAAGTTATTATTAAACAAAAGAAATAATCAATTGATTGCAATTAAATCAAAATTATTAATTAATTCAATTACAACATCTGTGTCGACAAACAAAATATCATCACAAGAAATGGGGGTTTGTTTTGTTGTTTAACTAATTATTAAATCCATTATTTAAATTGGTTTACATTTTTTGGTTCTCTCTCTCTCTCTCTCTCTTTCTCCAGAAAATAGCTATTCTTTTAGGATGTTTTGAAAAGAGTGACGACAAAGAAAAATATTTGCTAACAGAAAATGCCATCAAATTTGATGATACAATTGATGGCAAACTGAGTGATGCCATCAATGTGTAAGTCATATAATATGTCTTTTTATTTTTGACTAATCTTTTAATTTTTTTGTTTTTACTTTTTTGTTGTTATATCTGCTAAGTATTGGTCCACTGAAAAAAAACAAGTGTCGAGTCTTTTACGGTTTAAGTCCAAAACATCCAGTGGTGGCTGTGGTTGGTTTGGGACCAAACAATGCCGGTTATAATGATTCTGAACAGTTAGACGAAGATCGCGAAAATATCCGGTCAGCCATTGCTGTCGGTATCCGTACTTTGCGTGACTTGGGATCTATTGATCAAATCGATGTCGACGATTGCGGTGACAGTATAGCAGCAGCTGAAGGAAGTCATCTGATTCTCTATAATTATGATGAACTTAAAGGCGAATCACTAAAAAAGCCAATTATTAACTTAAATCACTTAAACGTTTACACGAATGACGACAACACAGAAGCTGGACTTAAGTGGAGTTATGGCCAAACTCTGGCCAACGGACAAAACATTACACGAAGACTAATGGAAACGCCAGCAAATCTAATGACTCCGACCAGATTCGGCAATATTGCTGTCGAAGAATTAAGCAAATTGTAATATTACCGCAAATGTTACCTTAAATTACTAATTTATAATTATTTTTTTAGAGGTGTTAAAGTTCATATCAGAGATAGGGTTTGGGCTGAAAGCCAGAAAATGGCATCTTTTTTAAGTGTAGCCAATGGTTCAGATGAACCACCAATATTTCTTGAGGTATTTGTTGTTGTTTTTTGTCTAGTTGGGGGTGGGGTATTGGGTGGGTTTAAAGTCGGATAAATCTATTAACTATTAAATAATTAATTAATAGGAATTTATTAAAATAAATATTTAAGATATTAATCTCTGTCTGTCTGTTTGTTTAACACATTTTCCCATTTATTTATAAAAATTTCTAAAAGAATTGTTTAATTATTATATTGTTAGGTTAGCCGTCTAATATAAAACTACTTAAAGAAATGTTTTTTCAATAAAAAATTTTAAATAATTATTTAGCACCGGTAGGTTAGGGGAACAGTTAGGCAACTTTTCTATAAGACAATCTAGCTGTATGGTATGAGATATAGTGCACCGGTAGGCTAGCTATCCATAAATATTGAATTGTATTGTTAGATCAAGTTTGTGGTGCGCGGGTTAAGTTAGGTTTTATTTGAATAAATAGTTGTTCATTTTTATCTCTCTATTTAGATATTTTTGATGACAGCCGTATCTCCTCCACCCACCCCCGCTCTATTCCTTATGCCCTCCACCCCTACCCTCTCTATTTAATATCTAGCCTTTATTGATATTTATAACAAATTTTCATATTTTTTGTTATTTTAAATTTTTTTTAGATGCATTACAATAACGCTCCCAATACTAAACCAATAGTATTTGTGGGCAAAGGTATTACTTTCGATAGCGGCGGCATATCATTGAAGCCATCGCTGAATATGGACAAAATGAGAGCCGATATGGGAGGTGCTGCTAATGTTTTTGGTACCATATATACATTGGCTTCTCTTAAAGCATCAGTCAATATAATTGGTAAGTATCCTAAACTAAACTAATACTACTACACACCAGTAGATTAAATTTGTTGATAAAATAATTTATTTTTAATAATTGTATAATTGATAGGTTTGACTCCATTAACTGAGAACATGCCGAGTGGAAAGGCAACAAAACCGGGAGATGTTGTGTTTGCTATGAATGGAAAAAGTATTCAAATTGATAATACCGATGCTGAGGGAAGGCTTGTATTGGCCGATGCCTTATGTTATGCACACAATTTTGAGCCGCAATTGATTCTAGATATTGCCACTCTAACTGGTGCAATGAGAGTGGCACTGGGAGCTGCAATGGTCGGTGTCTTTTCCACGTCTACTAAACACTATAATCTGTTACAAAAGTGTGGCGTCCAGACTGGCGATCGTGTTTGGCGAATGCCTATACTGTCACACTTTACCAAACAGATTACCGACAGTCCCACTGCTGACCTGAACAATATAGGTGGTGCCGGTCAGGGCGGGGCTTGTGTTGCGGCGGCCTTTCTTAAAGAGTTTGTCACTAATCAAAATTGGATGCATTTAGACATCGCTGGTGTTATGGATAACAAAGACGATGTCTCTTATTTAGGTAAAGGTATGTCTGGACGTCCGATGAGAACTTTGGTTTATTTTGCAAAAGCATTGTTCGATAATGAGTTAAATTAATTAATTAATAGATTTGATTAATAGGAACTGATTTTGTTTTTTTATAATTACCGTACATTTTATAATTTTTTTATATTCTCTTATGTGAACAAAAAAACATATTTTTTATGTGTAGGGATTAAATATTTCATTTATATAAAAAATGTATAAATAGACTAAATAAAATTGAATTTTTATTAATTTAATTTAAATATTTATTTTCATAATATCAAATGCCTTAAAAATCATGAATTGATAAAAATTTAAGTCAGGAAATACCTAAAACCTACTCAAATCTAACTTAACATTACCTGAGATAACAAATTATAAGACATCTCTCATGAGACAAGTCTTTGTTGACTACAATTTCAATGTCTTTAAAAATTTGTTATTCATTTTTCAATTTTATTTATTTTTAGTGTATTATATTACAAATTATCACAGTTTAATATGATATATAATTTACAATTATATGCTAAATGAGTAAATAATAATAGATATTAAGAAATATATTTTTAAAATGGTATGAAATGTTTAAAATATTAAATCAAGTCTTAAACTAAAAAAAATTGTAATAAAATTAAAGTACATTATAAGCAAAATATCACTTTTTTCGGCTAAACTGTTGATAACTTTTGACATCTTTGGCCAATTCGTCAATTTGTTTCATTATATTTGAATCATATCTGAAAAACAAACAAAAAACACATGAAATAATCAATAATTAGTGGACAGGTATGTGACCACCAACTCATTGCCGAGAATTGTCACATTGACAAAGGTTTGCGCCAAACATAACAGTCTGTCCATTGGATACCGATGTCGATGCGTCCAAATAAAGTCTCTTCTAAGCAACCAATGGTCGGTTATCTCCCATGACTTGCGAAGTCGATCCACTTCTTCATCAGTTAAGTCCTGATTGTAATTGCCTTCGGATGCGACCGTTATCTCATCTTTGGCCACAACAGCACTGTTTTCACTCATTATCTCAATTGACAAGTAATATCCCGTTTGATTATAAATAACTAAAAACTATCTGTATATTAGTTGATCCAAGTTATCGATGACTTTAAGAAGAAAATCAAATGAATGATATTAACAAAAATGATTATTAATTTGTCATAAAAACTAATGCTTTATAATTACCGGTAATATTGTATTATTAATACAAAAACATGTATTTATAGCATTCAAAGCAATGCAATGCCGGCTATAATATCCCTATATATTAGTCATATTCAGTGAATAACGCTATCTATAGTCACAACAAAACACATTAACTGTTGTATTGAAGGCAGCGTTGCATTCAAATAGTGTTTTAAACAAAACACGTGTTTATTAAAGCATTTATTTTTAATATTTATTTCACGTTAACTGAACACATCTTTTAATACTTGTGACCACTATTTAAGACAATTCGTATTTGTCTTTAATATCATATTTTAATTGCCATCAATCGTGTCATAAATGGGAAGACCAGGTCTTTACTAACGATATGATAAGCATTTAAAGTAATGTTTCAAACGATTTATTATAATTTTTTGGTTATATATTAGGTTTCAGTCCTCGCGGTGGAGGGTTTAGAGGTGGCGGCGGTGGCCGAGGAGGTCGTGGTGGCTTTGGAGGCCGTGGAGGTGGCGGAGGAGGAGGAGGTGATAATAGTTGTTTCAAATGTGGRCAAAGCGGACATTTTTCACGTGAGTGTCCTAACGCCAGCCAAGGAGGTGGTGGACGTGGAGGCGGCAGTGGTGGAGATAATAGTTGTTTCAAATGTGGACAAAGCGGTCACTTTTCACGCGAGTGTCCTAATGCCAGTCAAGGAGGCGGCGGTGGAGGAGGAGGTGGCGGCGGTTGTTTCAAGTGTGGACAAGACGGACATTTTTCACGAGAATGTCCGAATTCAAGCCAAGGTGGAGGACGCGGAGGTTTTCGGTAAGTTTTCTTTAAATTAAGTGATTTAAAATTAATAAATGATTTGATTAGTGGTGGCAGAGGTGGTGGCCGTGGTGGTGGTGACCGCGGAGGTCGTGGTGGCCGAGGAGGAGGTAGAGGTGGAACTCCCAGAGGTGGTCGCGGAGGTGGACGAGGCGGAGGTAGAGGTGGTAGAGGAGGAGGGGCTGGTTTTAGAGGCGGTAAAAAGGTTATGGTTGAACCACATCAACGTCTTGATGGTGTGTTCATAGCGAGAGGTAAAGAAGATGCTTTGGTGACCAAAAATATGGTTCCCGGAGATTCGGTATACGGAGAAAAAAGAGTGTCTATTGATGATGAAAACGGAAAAATTGAGTATCGCGTGTGGAATCCTTTCCGATCAAAACTGGGCGCCGCTATATTGGGAGGGGTGGAGAACATACATATCGCTCCCGGGTCTAAAGTTTTGTATTTGGGCGCCGCCTCTGGAACTACTGTCTCACATGTGTCCGATATTGTAGGTCCTGAAGGACGTGTATATGCTGTTGAATTTTCACACCGATCGGGTCGAGGTCAGCACTTTTTAATGATATTATGATTTTAGTTATTATAACATTTGTTTGGATTTGTAGACCTCTTAGGTGTAGCTCAAAAGCGTAGTAATATAGTTCCGATCATTGAAGACGCCAGACATCCACACAAGTATCGTATGGTATTGTCAATGGTTGATACGATATTTGCCGATGTGGCCCAACCAGATCAGGCCCGCATTGTTTTGCTTAATGCTCAGCACTTCCTCAAAATTGGTGGTCACGTTGTCATTTCAATTAAGGTATTTATTATAAAATATTAAATAATGATGTATTATATAATGTAATTATTTGCAAATTCAGGCCAATTGTATTGACTCTACGGCTCCGGCAGAAGCAGTGTTTGCACAGGAAGTGAATAAATTAAAATTAGAAAAAGTTAAACCCTTAGAACAGGTGACTCTTGARCCCTATGAAAGAGATCACGCTGTCGTTGTTGGTATCTATAGGTATGTATTGATTTAGTCATTACGTGTGAATTGCTATAAAAGATTAATTGTTTAAATTTGATCTGTGCTTTAGGTCCGATGTCAAGAAAGAATAGGTTAAAGTTTAAGTTTATATTATCACTCATATCTACCCAACCATCATATGTCCCATTAATTTAAAGTAATTATGACAATGGATTTTCTTAACGACGACATATGAATTATTTTATTGATAAAAAATATTTTTATTATGTATTTTGAAAATAAAAATTATCCGAAATCACAATTTTAATACTAAAATTTAAGATTAGTTTTTAAAATACATTTATAATAAGTAGTTAATGTTTTATGTAAATCAATATCATTTGATTCCGGCGTCCTTTGCCAGTGAATAAAATACTGAGTTTTCGTCGGCCAACAGGTTGTCGGGTGAATCAAATTCAGCGATTCGTCCCTCTATTGGATACAAAAGTTATATTAAATATAAGTTCATCTATAATGTCATTGTCTTACCATTCAATACAAGAACTCGAGTCGAGTCTAATATTGTATGCAATCGATGAGCTATTGTCAGTACAGTACAGTCGGCGAAAGCTTTTCTTATAGTTTGTTGAATCAATGAATCAGTTTCGAGATCGACAGCAGCGGTGGCTTCATCTAAGATGAGTACTTTGGTATGTCTTAGCAAAGCTCGTGCCAAACATATGAGTTGTCTTTGACCGACACTCAAGTTTTCTCCGCCTTCAGATACTTTGTACTCTAAAGTGGATTCAAGTGTTGAAACAAATGTTTTGAGATGYGATAACTCTAATGCTTTCCAAATGTCTTCATCGGTATATGTATTAAAAGGATCTAAATTTTGACGAATAGTTCCACTGAAGAGTACTGGATCTTGTGGTATAATTGTCAGTCGTGATCGCAATTGATGTAAACCAATGTCACTGATRTTGATGCCATCAATTGTTATGTTGCCTTCTGTGGCTTCAATTAGTCGAAAGAGAGCTAAAGTTAAAGATGACTTTCCAGCACCTGTTCGACCAACTATTCCTATCTTTTTTTTTATTTGAWAAATATATTGTAATTCTATAGTAAATTAAATTTTTGTTGAAAATCTTGTTACCCTTTCTCCAGAATTGATTTTAATACTGATTTGTTTGATAACTAAATCAAGTCCTTCCCTATATTTGGTGGAATAGTTATCGAAATCAATATTGCCATCAATAGGCCAACCACTTTGAGGCGCTGTGTCTTCTATATACCACTCGGCCTCAGTCTTTAAGTCAGTATACTCTAAGATGCGCTCCACACCAACAATGCTAAAAAATTGTCATTAAATAAAGTTACTGTAATTCTAATAGAAATATTATAAGTAAAACTATACTTAGTTTCCAAGTCGGAGAAGCAGCGGACCAACCAATTCAAATTCTGAGTCGTACTCAAAGCATATGTTATAATAAGTCCGACTTCACTCGCATCCAACTCTTCCCTATAAATGACTGCAAATAGCGCTGAGAAGAATATAATAAAATTTGCGACCATTTCTAGACGTATAGATAGCCATCGATTGGCCACAACGTTAGGAAAATAACATCTATTGTTTAAATCGAGTCCATTATCTGATTCTTTAATAAATTGTTCGTTCACACCGTCTAATTATAAATATTTTAAAAAACAGTCAAAAAATAATCATTACATTAAAACATTTATTATAATACAGGCTCTTATAGTGGTAACACCGGTCAATGTTTCACTGAAATGGGAATAAATTGGAGATTTGGTAATAGATTCCAAACGTTTTAATTGACGAGATGTTGTTATATAAAATTTCTAAATGTATTATAATATAAATATTTTATTAAAAAAAACTATATTTTGTTATTATTATTATTATTTACAAACCTGGATAAAATAGAAGATAATAGCAATTGGCAGTATTATAACCAAAAATATAGGTATCTCTAATTATAGTTTAAAATAATAATATATTAATATATTTAAACTCAAAAATAACAAAATAATTGTAGTACTCATAGATATTATAACGATTGTGGCAATTGATGAAAAAGCACAGGTGAGACAAAACCTATATAAAAATATTTAATTAAATAATTTATTGTGCTTATTAATTTTTATTTATTTTAGTTATAGTTATATTAAATTAGTGTATAATAAAAAATAAGATAAAATAAATTATGGCAACTGTATGATTGTATGCTAAAAACTATTGATAATTATTTAAAATAAAGAGTAAAACAAATCAATCGTCAATTACCTGATAGTCCCAGAAAGTGTTTGATCACAAATGTCGACATCTTTGCTAAATCGGTTTAATATCCGACCCAAAGGTGTGGTATCAAAGAAACTCATCGGTGAATGCATTATCTGTTCCAACATTTTTGAGTGCAAAAATTTGGCCGCTATTATAGTGCCTTTAGTTAATGCAAACCAACCAATTGTTACAAAAATAATTTGTAATAAACCCAACAATCCTATGAAAAATAAAGTTTATAATGTATGATATTTAATAGATATAAAAAACACATTTAAAAAGATATTTAAAAAATAACAAACCATAAAACATTAGATAAAATGAAGTCTCATGTTTTTCAGATTCAGTAGTCGCCGACCATTTTGAAAGCCAAATACTTTGAGCCGCAGTGGCCGCCTGTTGAAGAGCAAAGTTGACCACAACATTGATACACCAAAACCATGTGATGGCCTTAAAGTATCGAAAGTACACCGAATACTTGACTCTTCCAGTTTCAGCCCTTTCCACTTCAACTAACTTTGCCTTTTCATTGTTAGTCTCTTTAATTGTTCCCGACTTTGTTTTCTTTGTTTGATTTTCAACTTCTTCCTCTTTGTTTAAACTATTGGCTGAATATTGTTTAATAAGATCAGCAAAGAATCCATTATTTTTTATGAGTTCATCGAAAGTTCCAGTTTCACTGACGGCTCCGTCTTTTAATACTATTATCTTATCTGTCGACGGAAGAAATGTCAAACTATTTGTCACTAAAATTCTTGTCTTGTCTTTCAAAAATCCAGTTTTTGAATCCAATACTTCTTCAAATATATATCTACCGACGTGTGAATCGACTAATCATTAAAAAATAAGTATTATTATATAACATATTATTGATAACTTGTTTGACTAACCAGCAGACAATGGGTCGTCTAATAGATACAGATTTGAGTCGGTAAAGCACGCGCGAGCTAGACTTACACGTTGTTTTTGTCCTAAAATGTATAAATAAATTATATAATAACAACAATTGATTTAATAAGTTAATGATATTTTTTGCTTCATTTGAAACAAACCTCCGCTTAAGTTAATGCCTTTCTCTCCGATCTCAGTCTCATCCCCTCCCGGAAGGATATCCAGATCAGTCTTGAGAGCACAGACATCAATCACTTGTTTATATCTCTTTTCATCGTATCTATTGCTAAAAATTATGTTATTTTTAAGACTAGAGTTTTGAATCCAAGCCTGTTGTGGAACGTATGCTATTTTCTGTGAGGAACAGCTATAGACATGTTTTAATATTAAACAATTAATATTTTTTAATTTATTCAATTAATATAAGAAATACAATAATAATTACATGTTTACTGATCCGTCTTGTATTTCCATATCACCCAACAGTGCACTTAATAATGAACTCTTACCGGAGCCGACAGAACCAACTATTGCCACAAATGAATTCTTCTTGATTTCAATGTTAAGTCCGTGAAGTATTGTCTGGCAGTCATCGGATTCATTGATTGCTTTCTTCCAACTAAATGATCCGTTATTGACTTCAACTGCATTATTGTTATTAAACTCCCGCTGAACGTAACCACTGAGTTCGGGTGCGTTTAAAAACTTATTCAAACGCTTTACTGATACACTAGTCTATAAAATATTACAATTTGATTAATATACTGTAGTATTAAAAAAATAATTTCTTAAAATTATACCATTATTATACTTGTAATCAAATATGGTAACATTGATAACGGAAATCTCAATATATTAAAGAGTGCGAGCGATACAAATGCTTTTTGAGCGGTCAGTTCATTGTCGGGACTCATCAATACATAAATAGCAAACGTTATAAAAGACACGAAGAAAGGGGCGCACATCCAAAGACAGGCCAAAACACATCCGATATAATTAATTGTTCGCATATTTTTTAATTCTTTGTTTCTAATCTTCAGTATGTCGTCCATAAACGCCTGTTCCCAACCATAAAGTTTAAGTACTTTAATACCACTTAATATCTCATTCATAGCTTTGACTCTTTCATCTTTTAACTTCATTTGTTTAATTTGTAACTTTTTAGTAACTTTAGTTAAATATCCATTAATAGGTACCATAAATGCCATGACAGCCAATCCTCCTAATACTGAAATACCTAATTCTTGCCATAAGAAATAAACAGCTAAAACAATCTGAAGAGGTGCGGACCAAATCAAATTAATGAATTGTGCAATTTCTATGAATCTTTGCGCGTCAACTGCCATCAGATTTACTATCTCTCCAGTAGTTGATTCAGTCTTAGCGGTATTTGATAATCGCAATGACTTTCTATAAATAGCTGCCACCAAACAGGTCCTAATTCTCATACCAATAACCATCATTCGGTTGAAATAATAGTTCAATGATAAGACCTGAAACATTGTGGTCAAGAAAAGTAAAACGGCGTACAGGTATCCGTGCCATACTTCTTCATTTTTATTACTTATATATGACATTAATATACTGAATAAATAGATATATAAAAAATTAAATATAATTTTCAATAATAATATTCAATGTTTTTGATTTGATAAATAATATAACTTTTTATAATTACCTCATAAGCTGTGGACTAACAAAAGTCAACATATCATTGATAAGCTTAAAGAAAGATCCGGCAATAAAGTAAAACCAAAAGGTTTTAATAATTGTCTGCAGAATACCGACACTGAGTTTCTGTTTTTCATCAGCGATGGGTTGGTATTTGGTTTCGTCACTATTCATTGATTTGTTTAACATTTCATAATTGTTTTGTGATTCAGTTCTTTTAATACCATTAGTTTCTTCAATCACTTTAAACTGTTTCGATGGCAATTGATTATCAGTATTAACATCACTTGATTGTCGTTTAAATTTTGATTCAAATAAAAGCCAATTTTTGTTAAATATTGAAAAAATATTAATACTTTTGTCTCCGTGTCTTATCTGCCATAAGTTCTCGACTGTGAGCGGACTTTTCCAGCCCTGTATTGCCAATGATGTAAACCACGAGAAGATTAGTCGCGAAAGAAATGAAGCGCTATCTTTGGGACACTCCTCAGCCGTGTCTTCATTGATGATATGATTATTAATTTCATTAGTTTCACCACTGATTTTAATATAATTTTGTGGCAATTTATCGGCAAAACAGTAGATGAAAAATAAAATAACTGTTAGTGAATATTGAGTACAAAACAATATCTTTTCATAGAGTGGCGTTTGATGCCATTGAAAGTGGCCGTAAAGTGTCGGTGCGTTACATAAGACCGACAAAAATAAGTAAAACCAAATGACACCACTTGTATGGATACCGCCTTTTACTTGAGCCCAAAGTAAAACAAACAAAACTACCTGTTTTTAAATAAGTGTTAGATTTATGTTTTATAATATTATCTAAACTTACTGTTAATATAAAACGGACAACTGTTGCGATAACATCGGGTGCGAAAGCAATCGTKTCGTTGTCGGGATTGTCGTCATAGTGTTTGACCACAACAGCCACACATTCGGCAATTGCTATAATTACCGAAACAGTGGCCACTATTTGCCGAATTATATTATAATAATTCCAAGTAATTGTTTGACTACTTTTGATGAGCACTCGGATGAGTATTGGACAGAATATTAGTAAAAATATAAACGGAATCCAAACGGAAAGTGTTTTATTGAAGCATTCTGTGAGCTCCGGGCTATTCGTATGCCAAGTCTTATTTGAGTCCTAATTCATATAATAGTAATTCATTGTTTAAATTATAATAACAATCTTATTTTAATTATTATTTTATATAATAAATTATTTACTAATATAAACATACACACCATTAATATATTGTCGATTTTTATTTTAATTATTTATATTGTATTAAAATATTATTTTAAAATTACTTTATACTATTTTCATGTCATTTATAAGTTAAAATTTTATAATTTAATTAATTTATAATATTTCATGTAAATTACTTACTTATTGTCTTAATAAGTAAAGTAATTGTTTTATTTATTTTTGAAATATAATGTATTAAATAATTTATATTATTTTTGAAATGTGATAATAGTCTTTATAAATTATTGTTGCTAAACATAATATACAATATATCCTTTAACTATATGTCAAAATTATATGATAATTAAGTTAAATCTAAAACAAACTTCTATTTCCCGTATGGTTTATAGCATTGTATATACAGTTATGTCTTAATTAATATAAATCAGTGTTTGAAACCATAAGACACTTCATGTACTGTAGTTTTCAAGTGAATGACTTATCAAACAAATAAGTATTCATAAAGTTATAATTATTATAAAATTTAATTAATTCATTTATAAGTACTTAAAAAATTATTTATTAATATTTATAATCAATTACAAAATTATTTAATGTAATCATAATTAATTAATGACTGTATTTGAATTTATAACTTATTAGTAGGAGATATTTTATATATTTAATACAGTATTTATTTATCATATCCTATTTATCTTTAAATTTGTATTTAAATTATAATTAATTTTAAATATTGATTTAATTAATTAACATTTAAAACAAAATAACTTAAAAAATAAAAAAAAAATATTAAATTGCAAATCTCTATCTATTAAATGACATTTATATTAGATTAATATATTATTTATAATGTTTGGTAAAACAAATAAGGCGTTGTTCACATATTACGTTCGCAGTTTTTAAAAAATCTAGACCCCCTCCCCCCCTATGTTCGCAATTGTTCGCATGTAATGATATTTAAAAATTACGTTCGCATGTCCTTAACCCCCCCACCATTTAAATAGATATTTTATAAAATTATTTTCACTTTTAAAATAATCAAATAATAAAATAAATTAATATTATTCAAAAGTCATATATTTATTCAAAATTAGTTATTAAACCGTTTATCAAGGGATTAAGTTTACTCAAAATTAATCCCTTAAATTCATTCATTATTTAAATGCGAACGTTCTTATAGGCTTTACCCCCCCTCCCCCTCGTTCGCAAAAGTTCGCTTTGGCCGACCCCCCTCCCCTCAAGTGCGAACGTAATATGTGAACAACGCCTAATTGAAAATACAATTACAGTATTTCAAATAAATTTAATACTAAAAATAAATTCAAGTGAATCTCATTATAATAATCCTAAAAATAACTGTCAAAATAAACATTAAGTTATTATCATATCAGTGAATAATATCATCAAAAACATATGATATGAAAGTTAAGACAATTCAACATTTATTATATTAATAGTAAAATATGATACATTAAAATATAAATAAATTAAATATGTTTTAAAAGTTAAATATTATAAAATTTAATGACAAAATCAATACCCAAAATGTTTGTCCACAAAACTGATCCATATTTGAAGTCATTAATTGTCATCAAAAAGTCGTCAAATTATTTGCAAGACTTTTAACAAATGATTTGTTTTGATTTTTATTATTAAAAAGATTTATATAAACTATTATTTATAACAATTTGAAAGCAATTACTAGTATAAGCGGAAAAACAATTTTTTAAACAAAATTTTAAATAATAAGCGACTATTTATTAATATTATATTATCATTGATAACAATAATAATGTTCACCAATACTGTCAAAAATAGCTATAATTTAATTATTATATTTAATACAAAAATTTAATATAAAATTTCTATTGATTATCACAAATAATTACTGTACGGTATATTCAAAATGATAGCAAATTTAAAAATTGACTAAAAAATTATTTAAAATATGATATTATATATAAATTATCATTTATTTATTTTCAACATTTTCCAAAAAATCGATATTATATTACTTTATTCAATGAGACAATGCATTGGCAACCATACCATCCCTGTAGTAGTGGTGCGTCTGCGGCAATGTATGCGCACTCATAGGCACTGATATTTAGTTTTCATACAAATGTATAAAACTGCCAGCCCTTGAAAGGACCGACCAGTGATGCAATACATGTTGTAAGTGTTTTATGAAATACTGTTGAAATGCATTATTACATACAATATTATTTAATATTAAAACATACAATGTATTGCATTTTGCACTAAAATGTACTGAAAGAGCACTCTTTTAGTGCACAACATTAACACCAAAACTGGTTACCAATTCATAGATATATTTGCAGTGAGTTTGTGACCAATACTACAATACTATACAATTCAATAGTAAACTTAATTATAGATATTGCAAATCATATGATAGAGAATTTTTTTTATACAGTATTGCAATTTTAATATGATATAAACATTTATTAAATATTATACATGTAGTTTAGGAGCTTTATTTAGTAATTTCAAAAATTGTGAATAAAATTATTATATAAATTTATTTTCATTACCGGTACATAAATTTATAAGGTTATGAAATTACAGTACCGGTAAGTTTAGGTATAGTATAGATATAATGCCAATACAAGTCAATTGTGATCTCTTATTATGTTTTAATTTAAATTAAAAATTTTAATTTAAAATCATGTTTTGATTCCGGCGTCCTTTGCCAGTGAATAAAATACTGAGTTTTCGTCGGCCAACAGGTTGTCGGGTGAATCAAATTCAGCGATTCGTCCCTCTATTGGATACAAAAGTTATATTAAATATAAGTTCATCTATAATGTCATTGTCTTACCATTCAATACAAGAACTCGAGTCGAGTCTAATATTGTATGCAATCGATGAGCTATTGTCAGTACAGTACAGTCGGCGAAAGCTTTTCTTATAGTTTGTTGAATCAATGAATCAGTTTCGAGATCGACAGCAGCGGTGGCTTCATCTAAGATGAGTACTTTGGTATGTCTTAGCAAAGCTCGTGCCAAACATATGAGTTGTCTTTGACCGACACTCAAGTTTTCTCCGCCTTCAGATACTTTGTACTCTAAAGTGGATTCAAGTGTTGAAACAAATGTTTTGAGATGCGATAACTCTAATGCTTTCCAAATGTCTTCATCGGTATATGTATTAAAAGGATCTAAATTTTGACGAATAGTTCCACTGAAGAGTACTGGATCTTGTGGTATAATTGTCAGTCGTGATCGCAATTGATGTAAACCAATGTCACTGATGTTGATGCCATCAATTGTTATGTTGCCTTCTGTGGCTTCAATTAGTCGAAAGAGAGCTAAAGTTAAAGATGACTTTCCAGCACCTGTTCGACCAACTATTCCTATCTTTTTTTTATTTGATAAAATATATTGTAAATTAAATTTTTGTTGAAAATCTTATTACCCTTTCTCCAGAATTGATTTTAATACTGATTTGTTTGATAACTAAATCAAGTCCTTCCCTATATTTGGTGGAATAGTTATCGAAATCAATATTGCCATCAATAGGCCAACCACTTTGAGGCGCTGTGTCTTCTATATACCACTCGGCCTCAGTCTTTAAGTCAGTATACTCTAAGATGCGCTCCACACCAACAATACTACTCAAAAAAAATTGATTAAATAGTTTTTTATAAAAACAATTTTAAGATATAAATATGTAATTATTCAGTACTTAGTTTCCAAATCGGAGAAACAGCGGACCAACCAATTTAAGTTTTGTGTTGTATTTAATGCATACGAGACAATGAGCCCGACCTCACTCGCGCCCAACTTTTCCCTATAAATGACTGCAAATAGCGCTGAGAAGAATATAATAATATTGGCCACCATTTCTAAACGTATTGATAGCCATCGATTGGCCGCAACATTGGGATAAAAGCATCGGTTATTCAAATCAAGTCTATTATCAGATTCTTTAATGAATTGTTTATTGACACCATCTGTTTTTAAAATATTAATTATATAATTAATATTTAATTTATAATAATTTTTTATATTTTATAAATTACAAGCTCTTATAGTGGAAACACCGGTCAATGTTTCACTGAAATGAGCATAAATTGGAGATTTTGTGATTGACTCCAAACGTTTTAATTGACGAGAAGTTGTTATATAAAATTTCTAAATAAATTAAAATAATTTTTTATAACTATATTTTAAAAAACATTAAATTTATAAATTAAAAAAAACCTGGACAATGTAGAAAATAATTGCTATTGGTAATATTATTGCCAAAAATATAGGAATTTCTAATTATATTTGTAAACAAATATTATAAGATTAATTTAATTTATATTATTATAAAAAAAAATTAAATTTTTGATGTTTATTAAATTACCAATAGATATAACAACAATTGTTGCAATTGTAGCAAATCCACATGTTAAGCAAACTCTATGCAAAATAATTTTCAAAATAATATAATCAATTCCTGTAATAATATTTATAGTCAATTACCTAATAGTTTGCGCCAAAATTAGATCACATGTATCGACATCTTTGCTAAATCTGTTTAATATCCGACCCAAAGGTGTGGTATCAAAGAAACTCATCGGTGAATGCATTATCTGTTCCAACATTTTTAAATGTAAAAACTTTGCCGCTTTTATCGTCCCTTTGGTCAGTGCATACCAACCGAATGATACAAAAAATATTTGTATGACTCCCAACACTCCTATTATAAAATAATTAGCGTATATTAAGAGAAATATAATTATAAGTCATTTATTTCTATATTTTTGAAACTATGATAATAAAATAAAAATCATAATTCAAACCATAAATAATTAAATAATAAACATTGTTATTCTCATTAGTTGACCACTCAGATAGCCATACACTTTGTGCGGCAGTGGCCGCTTGCATGAGTCCATAGTTGACCACAACATTAATACACCAAAACCATGTGATGGCCTTAAAGTATCGAAAATACACCGAATACTTGACTCTTCCAGTTTCAGCCCTTTCCACTTCAACTAACTTTGCCTTTTCATTATTAGTCTCTTTAATAGTTCCCGACTTTGTTTTCTTTGTTTGATTTTCAACTTCTTTTTCCTCTTTGTTTAAACTGTTAGCTGAATATTGTTTAATAAGATCAGCAAAATGGCCGTTAAATTTAATGAGTTCATTGAAAGTTCCCGTTTCACTGACGGCTCCGTCTTTTAATACTATTATCTTATCTGTCGACGGAAGAAATGCCAAACTATTTGTCACTAAAATTCTGGTCTTGTCTTTCAAAAAACCAGTTTTTGAATCCAATACTTCTTCAAATATATATTTACCGACGTGTGAATCGACTATTCAATCAAATATTAATTATATACCATATTATTGATAATTTGTTTGACTAACCAGCAGACAATGGGTCGTCTAATAGATACAGATTTGAGTCGGTAAAGCACGCGCGGGCCACACTTACACGTTGTTTTTGACCTAAAATGTATAAATAAATAATATTATAACAACAATTGATTTAATAAGTTAATGATATTTTGTGCTTCATTTGAAACAAACCTCCGCTTAAGTTAATGCCTTTCTCTCCGATCTCAGTCTCATCCCCTCCCGGAAGGATATCCAGATCAGGCTTGAGAGCACAGACATCAATCACTTGTTTATATCTCTTTTCATCAAAACTATTGCCAAACAATATATTATTTTTAAGACTAGAGTTTTGAATCCAAGCCTGTTGTGGAACGTATGCTATTTTCTGTGAGGAACAGCTATAGACATGTTTTAATATTAAACAATTAATATTTTTTAATTAATTTAATTAATATAAGAAATACAATAATAATTACATGTTTACTGATCCGTCTTGTATTTCCATATCACCCAACAGTGCACTTAATAATGAACTCTTACCGGAGCCGACAGAACCAACTATTGCCACAAATGAATTCTTCTTGATTTCAATGTTAAGTCTGTGAAGTATTGTCTGGCAGTCATCGGATTCATTGATTGCTTTCTTCCAACTAAATGATCCGTTATTGACTTCAACTGCATTATTGTTATTAAACTCCCGCTGAACGTAACCACTGAGTTCGGGTGCGTTTAAAAACTTATTCAAACGCTTTACTGAAACACTTGTCTATGGATTAATTTTTTTAGATAAAATTTATATGAATTTATAAAAACAATTTTAATACCAAAATTATATTAGTGACCAAATATGGTAACATTGATAACGGAAATCTCAATATATTAAAGAGTGCGAGCGATACAAATGCTTTTTGAGCGGTCAGTTCATTGTCGGGACTCATCAATACATAAATAGCAAACGTTATAAAAGACACGAAGAAAGGGGCGCACATCCAAAGACTCATTAAAGCACAGCCGATATAATTAATTGTTCGTAAATTTCTTAGTTCTTTGTTTCTAATCTTCAGTATGTCGTCCATAAACGCCTGTTCCCAACCATAAAGTTTAAGTACTTTAATACCACTTAATATCTCATTCATAGCTTTGACTCTTTCGTCTTTTAGTTTCATTTGTTTAATTTGTAGTTTCTTTGAAACTTTTGTCAGATATCCATTAATAGGTACCATAAATGCCATGACAGCCAATCCTCCTAATACTGAAATACCTAATTCTTGCCATAAGAAATAAACAGCTAAAACAATCTGAAGAGGTGCGGACCAAATCAAATTAATGAATTGAGTCATTTCAATGAATCTTTGCGCGTCCACTGCCATCAGGTTTACTATTTCTCCAGTTGTTGACTCAGTTTTAGCAGTATTTGATAATCGCAATGACTTTCTATAAATAGCTGCCACCAAACAGGTCCTAATTCTCATACCAATAACCATCATTCGGTTGAAATAATAGTTCAATGATAAGACCTGAAACATTGTATTAATAAATAATAGGATTGCATAGAGGTATCCGTGCCACGTCTCTTCTGTTTTGTTTTTTATATATGACATTAAAATACTGTCAAATTTAAATTAAATATTTTATAATATTGTAATGTATTACATATAAAATATATATATTTATGATTACCTCATCAGTTGTGGACTAATGAAAGTCAATACATCATTAATAAGTTTAAAGAAAGCTCCGGCAATAAAGTAAAACCAAAACGTCCGGTACATAGTCTGCAGAATACCGACACTTGCTTTCCGTTTGTCGTCACTTTTGTCCTTATGTTTGGTTTCGTCTCTATCCTTAGTTTTAGATGTAATCTTATAATCATTTTGATTGTCATTATTTTTGATACTATTATTGTCTGAATTGGTTTTCAACTGTTGCGATGAGTTATATGTTGTTTTTTGTTTAAGTTTTGCTTCCAATGATAGCCAATGATTGTTAAATAATGAATAAATAGTAAAACTTTTGTCTCCGTGTCTTATCTGCCATAAGTTTTCAACTGTGAGCGGACTTTTCCAGCCCTGTATTGCCAGTGATGTAAACCAAGAGAAGAGTAGTCGAGACAGAAAGGAAGCGCTATCTTTAGGACATTCCTTAGGCTTGTCTTCACTGATGTCATCATTATTGTCATAAATTTTGTTATCATTATTATTGTTTTTTGGTAATTTATCAGCAAAACAATAAATGACAAATAAAACAATTGTCAGCAAATATTGTATACAAAAAAATATGAATTCATGAACTGGTGTCCGATGCCAATAGATATTCCCGTGAAGTGTCGGTGCGTTACATATAACAGCTAAACACAAATAAAACCAAATGACACCACTTGTATGAATACCACATTTTACTTGAGCCCAAAGTATACCAAATAAAACTAACTGTTTTATATTAAAAGTATTTATTTTTAAAAATTGGATTTTCAAAACTTAAGTTTTTTTACTTACCGCTGATATTAAGCGGACAATTGTTGCAATAATATCGGGTGCGGAAGCAATCGTGTCGTTGTCGAGACTGTCGTCATTGTGTTTGACTACAACAGCCACACATTCAGCAATTGCTATAATCACCGAAACAGTGGCCACTATTTGCCGAATTTTATTATAATAATTCCAAGCAATTGTTTGATTACTTTTGATGAGCACTCGGATGAGTATTGGACTGAATAGTAGTAAAAATATAAACGGAATCCAAACCAGAATTGTTTTATTGAAACATTCTGTGAGTTCCGGACTATTCGTATTCCAACTCAAGTTATTATCCTTTTTAGATATTAAGGTATAATATTATACATTCATACAGTATTATTATATTATATATAAAGTATATATATATATAATAAAAATTTATATACACTAAGTTAATAGTGTAATTATATTATATTAATGAAATTTATCACAATTTAATAATAATGCAATAAAATGTAACACAATTACGGTAGTGTAGATTACTTATCTAATGTAAATAATATATAATTATTTCTATAAAATTTCATATGACTATTGTAATCAATGATTTGAATTATAAATTTTATTTTAAAAATGTTAATTTTTTTACAAATTTATATAATTAAATTAAAGTTATATTATTGATATCATACGAAATATGTAAAATAAAGAAAATTTCATTTATTAAATAGCTTTACTACTTAAATATTATATGAATATACTAATTATTAAATTATTTATTTTTTAGTAATAATATAAATAAAAATAATAATAATTAAATTGACTATAATTTTTATACTATCGATTAATAAATCTATACAAATGATACTATTGACTATATTTTGTTAAAATTTAAAATTATAATATTCTAATTAAATATATTAATTTAAAATAAATGTAAATAATAATAATACCCAAAATGAATTTCCACAAAATTGGTCAAATTTTAACGACATCTTTATTTTTATTTTAAATATAATTTAGTTTAATTTAATTTTACAATTAGATTTTTTTCTAACTATTAATAATATTAAAAAACTTTAGTAACTACTGATGAGTTACAATAAAACAGTATATTTTATACTAAATTTTAATTATCAAAGAATACAATGATGATGTACATAAGCTTATTTATACATATGTTATAATAAAATTTGCACATAATATTTATTGCTTATTTAAAAAATATATAGTCCTTTTCAGTCACATGTTATATATCTAAATCTTTATAATAAAAAGTAATTTTTTTAAAATTTGAATACATCTAATCAAAATATATATAATTTTTATTGACTGGTTATTTACTATAATTCTACAATATTATTTGATATTAGTAGAAAAACTTGATTTTCTTAAATCATGTAAATATTGTCAATAAGATAAAATTGATTTAAAAAATATTAAACTATTAATATATAAATAAAAAATACAAGTTTATACTCAATGATATTATCTATATTTATCTATATTTAGTAATTAGATTTTTAAATATAATAATAAGATCTATTGAACGCTGCACTGAGCTGTAATGTTATGACTGATTATTAAATTTTAATGTCAATTATAAATACTAAATATAAACTAAGACTAATAATTAAGTTACTAAAGAATATTTTTTAATTTTTTGTATACTAATAATTTGTTATAAGTAAATAAATTTTAAACAGTATTTTTAATTATAAAAACATAAATATGTTAATATTGCTATATTTTAAAACACTATTTTTGATTGAATCAAATAAATTGTAAAGTGCCAATGCTCAATATTTGTCTAATTTTATATTACTTTTATCAAATGGTCTTTATCTAAAAATTTTACAGCTATAATAATTACAACAATTGTTAATGTCTAATTAATAATAAATAATGAATTTATAAATAAAAGAGTAATTAAAATCGTATTCATTTGTTTGTCTGATAATTAGTTGTTTAGAAAATGTAATTTAAGATTAAATAAAAATACTGTAAATATTTAGTTATGTACTGACATTACTGTTAATTTGAGAATTTGTAAGTTTATTAAATTATAATTTTTTTTATTATTCTATTTTTAAACTAAATATTAAATTAGTATTAAAAAACAAAATACTTTTATAATGCATAAATGATATGTTAAGACAATATAAATTTATATACAATTTTATTTACTGTATAATAATACACAGGTAAATTGTGATTATACAAAAATATATTATAAATAAATATTAATTAATTATTAATTAATTATTGAAATTATTATTAGTATTAGTCAGTTAATTATTTATTTGGTACATAACTAACATCAAAGTTTGTTAAAATTAAGTAAATAGTTGTAATATGTTTTGTGTTTTTATCTCTATGTTTACATGAGTTCACATAAATAATAATGTTTTTTGAGATTTTAATCATTTTATTTAGTTTTGTTAGATTTTGTGCAAAACTAATGTATAAACTAATGTTAAAGTTGTAACAAAATTGAACTGAATGTCATTTTACATCGATTTTGTTATTTTTAGTGCTGTTTCTGTTATTTTGTTATTGTTTTTTGGCGATTGCTTTGAAAGATAACTAAAAAACAGATGAAACAAATTTATCAAAATTAGCTCAACTTTGCAATCATTGTAAATGAACTGATGCTATGCTTTTCACTTGCAATCAAATGACGACCAGTGGTCAGCATTGTGTCTACAAGTGATACAACAGATTAAGACATTTATAAATGTGATTAATGCCTAACACAACACACTCTCTAATTTATAGACTATATATAGATATCATATAACATTACTTTCAATATCTATCAAATTATCTATAGATGAGAAAGAGAGAGAGAGAGAGAGAGAGAGAGAGAGAGAGAGAGAGAGAGAGAGAGAGAGAGAGAGAGAGAGAGAGAGAGAGAGAGAGAGAGAGATTAAATTGTTTAGTTAGTTACTTTTGATAAACTATTATATAATTTCCGTTTTATTTAACTAAAAATTGAAAAGTTTGTTAATTATTGTAGTCATTAAATTTATAATAAACTTTTTCAATACAACTGAGAATTGGATGTAGATTTTAAATTATTTTAAGTATGAAATCAAAGTTTAATTACAAATTTAATATTTTTACATTTAATATTAATACATAATATTTGTAAATAAAATCATTTATGATTTAAGGCTCTAATTTATAATATAAATATTTAAAAAAAAACTATCTTTGGAAAAAATTGTAACTTAATATTTAATTTTTATTTTACTATATAATAGTATTATTTCATAAAATATATAATTTCTATAGAATTATAAACAAAATACTTGTCTTATAAATTTGATTATATTGTGAAATGTGAATTAGCAATGTAAAATGAGTTAATAATAACATAAACATAAAAATCATGAATATTTCCTAAAATATTTTACATTTACTTAGGCGTGGTTAACATATTACGTTCGCACTTGAGGGGGAGAGGGGTTAGCCAAAGCGAACTTTTGCGAACGAGGGGAGGGGTAGAGACTTTAAGAACGTTCGCATTAAGATAATATTTTATTTCTTGTGGTGGGGTGGGGGTAGCGGTTAGGGACATGCGAACGTAATTTTTTTAAATGACTACATGCGAACAATTGCGAAATAGGGGAGGGAGGGGTCTAGATTTCTAAAAAAAAAGTGCGAACGTAATATGTGAACAACCCCTTACATCAAATAAATTAAAACTATTAAACAAAAATTGCTATCAAATTATTATAACTTATATTTAACATTAATATTAATATTATATACAGTAATCTTTGCTATTCAAAGATAATTAAGTTATGTGTCAATCATTATAAGATATTTTTTTAATTTGTTTTGTTTGTATAAAATATTTGTTAACTTAATATTTATTGAATTATAGTATATAATGGTTTGACAAAATCACTTTAATCTGAATCATCTTATTTTGTCTACAATACAATGTATGCAAAACTAATGTATTAAATCCTATGACACTATTGACATGACTTTCTCTAAGTTTGATAGAGTTGTGATACATTGAATCAGCAATTTTCAAGTTATATGATATAACTGATCACTCAATTCCTATCGGATGTTGCAATGATTTCATGCCATCATTTAGTTAATGGTAATCATTGTATTGCATACAACCATATGGGCGCCCATAGGAAAAGTTGATTTCGATAACATTTCGTATTGACTGCAAAAAACAGATAACAAAAATTTAGTATAACTTTATTGTTTTATAATACGACAATAAAAAGTACACCAAACGTACCAAAGTTTATTATTCAGTTTATTTATTATCAAATAAACAATTAAATTAATAACACTTATGATAATTGGTCCGAATTCATAAATAATTAAATTATATGATACGGGCTTAAGATTTTAGTTTATTTTTATTTAAAGTTTATATTAACTAATAAACAAATAATTTAAGTGTAACTTTAGTGCATATCAAATAAATTAATATTATTGATGGCTATTATCATAATACACATTATTAATAAATTAATTATAGTTAAAAATTAAACATACAGTATATTACATAGATAAATAATATAATAAAATTTGTTTAACCATTTTTGTATCCCAATATTTTAGTATTTTATAAAATTTTTGTTATTATAACCTAAATTTATGTTTAAAGTCAATACTTTATGTATCATTAATATTACTATTATATGAATATTTAATTAAAAATATATTAATATTTAAGTGAATTGCTGTTATATCATCCATATCTACTATTAGTTTATACTGTATGTTAAAATAAAACTATTAAAATATTTGTAATAAAATAATACACTACTTATTAATAATGCCTTCTTATTAAAGCCATCTTATAATCTCATTAATAGTCATTTCACTCTAATTATATAAAGATTGCATTGAAAATATTAATTATATACACAAAAAAACATATTATAATTAATTAATATTCTCAAAACAATTTTTAGATATTTAATAACTAAAAAGAAAAAAGAAAAAAAATAAAATTAAAAAAAGTTATTAAAGTTGGATATTAATCCAAAATTACAATGAATTATATTTATAGATGAAGTTTCTGCTTAATAATAATATAATAATTTTAATACATTTAAAAACTATTTCAATGTTATAAACGCATTCCGATGGGAATCAAAGTGTTTTTACTATTCATCACATCATTGAAGACCATGAGATAGATTTGTGGGATTTTTGCAGATGTCATCAGTAATGTTATAATTAAAATATTATAATAATATTTTATAAAATTATGTATTAAAATGTTTATTAATATATGATTGAAATATGGAAAATGAGTGGCATATTATTTAAAATTTAATGATTATAATAATTAGCATTATATAAATTTTTATAAAGTAATTTATTTAAAAATAAAAACAATGAATAAAACTTAAATTTTTAATATTATATATGATTTTACTTTACATTTCTATTTATATCACTAAATATAAAATATATGCCATAATAATAAAATGATATTAGATTAATATAAGTAATAGAAATTTAAATTAAAATAATGAAATAAAATATTTAATCTTAAAAGTTTAAGAATTTTATGGTAATATTAATACAGAGTAACATTTAAATACATTATTTTAGTTAATTAAAAAATAACCATGTTAAAATATTTATTGATTTATATTTATGTTGTTGTGAGAGCACATATTGATTAAAATATTTGTTTTAACTTACAATTCACAACATATGTCTGACCACATACTCTGGTGACTGACCGGACGGTACTGTTTCGACTCAATACTTGAAGTCTATGTCTGTCCTCTCAAAGAGAGAGAGAGAGAGAAACAATATCCAGGATTTGTATCCCCCGTTTTTACAATGATTGCATTGCACGGGGTTTTGAGAACCCTTAAACTATGTTTCTCTCTAGTATTGTTGGTTATACTGTGTATAGCACTCATAACCGCTGAGAGTGCAGTAGTTAGAGGAGTACCCCTATTAACGATAGGACAGCATTATATATGCGGACAGTTCTT